CACCTTTCTCCCCACTCCTCCCTATCCCACCCCCTACCCAGCTCTCCCTACCCCTCCTCACCCCTTCATCCCACCCCATCCCATCCCCATCCAGCTGTCCCCACCCCTCCTCATCCCACCCCCCATCCAGCTCTCCCCGCACCTCCCTGCCCAGTAAAATTCCTTCTAATTTATGTATTTTTCCACTGCCCCCCCTTCCCAAACTCCCCCCAAATAAAAAAGCATAGGCGAAAAAAACACACTGGCAACAGAGAGAACAGCCCCACCCCTCCAGGAAAGCCTTGAGTTGAGGAACTTTCCATGTGATGGTCTATGTCCATTCCCCTGTCCCCCCTTATCCAGCTTTGCAAAGCCCTGGATGAAGAGATGGTATTTGCTCTGGAGTTGTTTAAAAAGAAAATATGCTGCTTTCTGGATATATTTATGCCGTAAAAAAAATTCCTTCAGATCCATACACAGCATCAGGGCTGGTTGAGAATTAACTTCCCTTAGCTCCTCGCGCCCTACTTCCTCCCGCCCCCCAACAGTGAGAGCTCTGTTGGCCTAGTGGTAAGGAACTGCGCTGCAATCCCCAATGCACAGAGTTCAAATTCACTTGCTGCTCTGCGGAAGAAAATGGGCAATAAATTATCTCTGAAAACCCTCTGGATGGTACACAATAGCCACTAGACACACACCCACACCCCCCTACATAGCTACGATTTTGGATCCTCGTCCAAGAGAGCAATGTCAACAGCATGGATTTGAGGGTCAAACTTCCAATTCTACCTCTACTATTTACCAGTTGTGCTGTGGTCTTAGCTCAGTTAACTTCTCTGGACCTCTGTTTGCTCATCTGTAGAGTGGAGATATATTATTCATCTCAGTCCTGCGGTCATAAAAAGCCACCTAGTAAGCATGCTGGAATACATGTGATCTAAAATGCATCCTTTTCTTTTTCCTACTGGGTAGGCAGAAGACCAGAGAGGCTGGGATCTGCCTGAGGTCACAGCGCTCAGAACCGTGGCTAGAACTCAGCTCGCTAAATTTCCAGGCAGATGTGAAAATTACTTCTTTACATTTTTTTCAACTCTTATACACACTTAAAAAAGTATTTTGTGCACTGCAATCCCAAAGGTATGCAGTTCAGATCCACCAGATGCTCTGCTGGAGAAGGAGGGTCAGTCTCCTCCTGCACCAGTCAGATCTGATTTGACGGTACACACACACAATATAACAAAATTTTTTTTTAAAATTCTTTTATATTGGTTTGCATACAAAATTCGTATACATTGTGTTTCACACATTCCTCAATTTACATTGTGTTTTATACGATTATTTCTATCTGTTGTGTTCTATAAAATGAATCACCATTGATCCATGCTCAATACTCAATGTCCAACAGTCATGCTGGTGACCTCTTTACACACACACAGGGGGGAGAGAGAGAGAGAGAACACATATTTTGCAAACTGATAAAGTGTGTTTCCAGTTTCCAGGGTCCACTTTTACCAATCAAATGCCTGCATACCCTCACCTCCAGCCCCAAACAAACTTTATTAATACAACGCCATACTAGGAGAAAATTTATTATTAGAAAATTCTACTTTATTCTCCCTACCCCAGCCCTGGCTAAACCTAGAAGGGGAAGGGGCTTTCTGACCAGTCAGAACACTACAGAGGGAATCACATGCAATATTTACAAATAAACCCCCTGCAAACAGCGTTTGACAAGGAAGGGTCCATCCACCTTGGTGATACCTCATTTTTCTTAAAAGATGCAAGCTATGTCTCTGAAAGGGGGCCTCTGGAGGGGAATTAAAACAGCCTGCTCTCTTTTCTGTCCCTCTTGCATTTCCCTAGGATCCTAGAAACAAGGCTGGCTAGTGGATGTAAAGGGGGACAGCCTTCCCCTGTTTAAGAGAAGAGGTTTTGTTGTTTTTTGGGGTCCCCCCACCCGACACTAGTGGAATGCACACCCACAAAGCTCATCCAGGCCTTTTAAAGGCCTTGTCAGGGGGTACCCAGCCCCATGCTTGAAGTGCTGCCCTGTCTACAAGAGTTGCTAAGTGGCACTGGTGGTGTAACAGGAAAAAAGTATGCATCACACACACTTACACAGTCAAAGAGCCTTTTATGAAGGTGCATTACAACAATTTTCAGCCCTGCAAGCTGGCTACTGGGAAGTCTGAGGGCAATAAAGGGGAGAGATTTTGCTCAAACTCCTGTTTCCTCTCCCCTCCCTTTTTTTAAAAAAAAAAAATAGGGCCAGCATTTTGTAACAGACTCTCTTATTATAAGAAACCCTTTAACTACAAGGAAAACATGCCTTTTAAGCAAGGGGGCTGCGGAGAAATTTACAAAACATTTAACACACTGTCATTAAGATAGTTGTAAAGATACACAAAGCACCACATTATGGGCCAATTTCTACTTGGGTCATAAGACTTATAGCTCCAAATGCTTATTTACGGTCGCCAGAGTTCCTTGGAAACTGGGCTCATTTAATACTCAATAATGGAGGGTGATGAAAAGTTGTTAGGTGAGAGGGGAGGAAGATGATCTGGGCCGAGTCCTGCAGGAGGAACTTAAGGTTAGAATGAGAAGCACAGTACTTCTGACAGGTGTGTGCGTCCAGGTATCTGTTACAGGGGAGCCCATGACATTTCCCCATCACCTGTATCGGATCCATGTCCCCAGAGCACTCTCTCATATTTGAGGATAGAGATTCAGTTTCCCTCAGAAAGAAAGACAATGGCTCCCAAATTTCTTCCCCGAGTAGAACACTGCATTAAAAACAAAACAAAACAAAAAAAGGTTTTGCGTGTGTGTGTGATTTCTGAGACAGCGTTCAGACGACCTCATATATTTTTCTCCTCTTACAAAAGAAAATTTTAAAATGTACTGCTGCCTTGGGATTCCCGAAACTATAGAAAAACATCTGAGGCTGGATATGAACGATCGGAATTTAAAATCCTTCTGAGTAGAATATTATGGGTACCTTTTGATGCCACTGTATTTACTTGCCAATTCATCATTTCCTTTGATGAATTAATTATGTTGTTAGCAATTGATAGAGCTATTCGTTAACCAAGGTGTTGATGTATTAAAGAAACACCACAATTTAGCCACAAGTGTCTTAAATGGTAAATCTAATTCTCACACCTCTTGAGGTCTGGATTCTTCCTCCAAATTTTTCATCTTAAGCTTTACGGAAAGGTTCCCAAACAAGCTGCAAGTCTTTCAATGCAGATCGATGTGTTAATGAATACGACAGAAACTAGAAAACTGCCTAGCTAATTTGTCAATAATGATGCTTAAAATATTGACACCCATTTTACACGTTAGTCAAAGAGTATAAATAAATCTTTTCCCAAACACTGTTTGCAAAGGGCATAAAATAAAATTCTGGTATAAATTATTCTTTCTTTTCTCCATTCAATCAATGACAGATTTTTTTTAAAAACTCTGGTAAAAGTCTTTGTAGCCACAAACAAACCAAAAAAGCTAAAGTTTGAGAGCAAAATCCATTTTGTTTCACGTAATTGTAGATTTGTCTGTATGGCAGCACATTTGAAACCCATAATCATAAAGCAGAAATTTATAGCCGGGGCTCAGGGTCTACATCTGCTTCTCTGGTTTTCATGCAGCCCTTACCCACTGGACAATCCAGAAAGAAACACCATGAATCACGCTCTACAAACATGTCTCAGCTGGAGAGTTCCGTGAAGAGATCTGTGTATGTCGGCACTACAAGCAGGCAGCGCTTAAAACTGGTCCCAGGCTGAGTGATGTCTAAATAAAAAGGTTCTCTCACAGGTTCAGACTTATCCAGCCCAGCACCAGACCTGCCAAGGCCAAGGCCAGGCAGACGCAGGGCTGGGGAGGTGTACCCTGATCATCTGAAAAACAAGACACGCCTGCCTCTTTCTTCTTTTTGTTGTTTTTTTTTTATTTTGTTTTGTTTTGTTTTTCCTGCTAATCCTATCTAAACCCCGCTTGTCACAGCCCTGGCAGGAGAATAAATAGCCAGGGAATGGAGTGAATTGTGGGTTTTGACAGGGAGGCAAAGGCAGGGGTATATTGCCAGCATAAGGTAAGTGCTGACGCTGTGCTCCA